AAAAAAAAAAAAACTGCTTTTTTTCAATAAACGATTCCAAACATAGGCACTAGCCTCACCAGCAGCTCGCTTACAGAAATCCACTTTTAAAATATACAAAGGTTGCCATCAAATGGGAGTACTCACGTGATGCGCGATTTATCAGAAGGCTGACATAAATAAATTGATTTCCAAAGACAGTTTGGTTACTTCCATAATTCTCCCAAGGATTCGCTTGTTTGCTTAATTCGAAATCTGTTAGTGTTTCGTACACAGCCCGTGGATGACCTGATAAAGACAGAAAGTGAGGGATTGATATCGTGCACTATGTGCTCAGCTGCATTGAAAAACACAAACAAACCTATTTCTTGTGAAGGTGCAATAAGTGCAGTAACTGAGCACATATTCACGTAACAGTACGGTATTTTGCTATTGAAGTATGCAAATGAACTTGCTGGTATGGATTTGAAACAATTTGAAGACGAGAAAGCAACCGATTTCTGTAAAATTACAAGATGTCAGCTAAACTACTTTTTTAAAGAGAAAAAGAGCTTGAGAAGAGTAAAGTTACCTCTGTGAACTTTAGAAAGAAGCCTATGGACAATCCAGAAATGTACTCTTCAAATTCCAGACTTAATAAACTGCTCTGGAAAAGAATCATTAAAAAGCCACGTACGCAGTATATGCGTTTGCGGTGAGAAGCGCGTTTAGCAGCTGGAAATCGGAACAGAGAAATGTGACCCAGACAGGTGACCAGCAACACAAAACTAAAGCCCTCAATAATGGTATGTTAGTGAAGTAAAAAAAAAAAAACGATTACTTCCATGTCTGGAAACTGAGCAAACGGCGAGCACTTCTCAACAGGTTTTGCCTTTGATTTCACGCCATTTACGGGTGGATAAGTAAGAATTTCATGCAAACGTCCATATGTTCCGTTGTTCGGAGCACGATGTTGGATACCGATGAGATCTGAAACAGGGATGAAATGCAAAAAGCACTGGCTATCCTGAAAAACGTCCCCTCACTAATCCACGCCATAGCTGAAAAAGTTATGATACCATTCAGCACTGTCCGAAGCACATCCCCATAAATTAGCGCAACTGTTGTAAACTTCCAGGGAAAATTCGATATTTCTCGACAGCCACAAAAAAGCATACTTCAAAAATACTGCATTTGAAAAAATCATCTTAAAATAGGGCTGCCTTTTCAGTGATAAGTATCGAAAATCTGATCAGGTAATGATAAAAAAGCGCTGGCACAAACAAACTCAAAAATAAATAAATAAATAGCAACGCGCACCAGACTAGCCGGTGCGACCATGCGTTTTGTGCAACTCAGCCCATCGAACGATTGCCTATTAATG